CACACTGTGTATTGTTCCATAGATTGAGCCTATATGGGACTCGAAAATGGAGATATCAGGTTTTACCAGGGTTTGATCTACTCAGAGACTATGTGGCCACATGAATCTCGGGGGGAGAAACATGTAGACAAATCTTTCATTTCAGAAGTGAGAGAAGCAGTCCAGAAGTTTGGATCTCTTCCTGTCTTCCTTCCTCCAATTCCCTGGAATTCTACAGTCAGTTATTGATTAAGGCCAATATTAGCCTGCGGATAGCTGATTAGCCAGTAATAGTTTCTAACAGGACTACGTTCATTATGAACAAATAGCCTGAGACTTACACACAATCCAAATTTCTCTTCTTGGGCTTTGAACCCTATATAGCAAAACTTCTCTCCCCATCCGCTTTCCTTTCTCTTTGCTCTCTCTTCCTCTTTCATTTTTTTCTAATACCACACACAAACACACACACACACACACACACACACAAATCTTAAATAAATCTGCCAACAAACAAAACACTGAAATTCCCCTTTATCCCACTTTTATCTCATCAATTTTGCCTTCTGTCCCTATGCATTCTTTATAGCACACATTTGTATTAGTTCAGTAGCCCCAGTGTGAAATTCATACATGAATATGCGTGTATTCAGGTTGCACATTAAGAACACTTCCACTGACAAGTTTGCGTAAGTAGGGAGTTTCTCTTTGGGGCAATGTTGCCTTCAGCCTAAGTCTCTGCATACAGCGATTTGGAGAATGAACTCAAATTTATAGTCTTTAGGAGGCTGACACCTCCCATCAGTTGGAGTCCCCTGGTGGTTGTGGTGGAGGGAGATGCAAATCCTCCACCCAAACCCATCTCTCTTTCCACCATAGTGACAGGGCCACAGTGAGGATATGGCTGTCCAGGTAAAGACTGACTTCCCAGCACTCGCTGCTCTTGCAGCCTTGTGTGGCCTTAAGACTAGGCTCCTTGCAATGGAAGGTGAGTGAATTTGGGCATGCAATGTCCACCTCATCTGCTTAAGAGGAAATCCCTGGCTCTGGTCTACTGCTCTTCCCTCTTCCCCTTGGCTGGGATTGTCATGAGCACAGAGACTTTAGAAGTTATAGATTAAAAACAGTAGAGATGCCTTCAGCCTTGATCCCTGAATGACTGAGTGGAATAGAGCCACCCAACAACCTGGGTTACCAGCAATGGATGTTCACAGGAGGAGGAAATACACTTCCTTGTTCTGGAAGTCACTGAATCTTAGCCTCCCCTTGTTATATAATTGGAAATGATCATAAATAACTCAGGCTACGTTAAACAAGAAGGGACTAGATGGGAGGATGGGGAATATTTATATGCCTAAAGGAAAGGCTGAGAACCAGATTCAGAAATGTTAGCTGTGTTAATTCCTGCAAACCAGAGAGAAGGAAGTAATAGACAGTTGTACCAGAGCCACAAGGCTGGGTGAATGTCCCCCAACCATTTTTATTTGCTGTGTCTCTTTGTTCAAGATTATATTCCAGAGAGAATCATTCAGCTGGACTGGCTTAGGTCATGTGTCCACCTCTTGTCCAGGGTTGGAGGGAGAAACTCGACTTACAAGTCCACCATGGTGGTATACAATGGCAGAGGGGTGGGTCATATAAGCGAAATCAAGATGCTGCTACCCAGGAAAGGGGAGATTGAGTAGGGGGAGCAAAAGCAACAACTGCACACCACATTTCTGAACCCTGGATGCTGTACTTGAAACTGTGTGTGTGTGTGTTTATAATATATACATATTCCACATTATGTATACATATATGTATATACACATTACATATATATTTATATATATGTATATAAAATATACACAGTCCCTGCGGTTCTATTATGTTTTAAAAACACAATATACCCTTAACCCCAGGCAGGTTTTGTTGATACCAGTTGCAGTGCGTGTGCATACTATGGGGAAAATTATGGCTTTCCCCCATCACCACGGTAGATATATTATGAAGAATAAATCTACAGCAAATTATCTTCAGAAATCAAGTGCTGTGTTTATCTCTGTGTAATGAGGCTGTCAGTGTAACCTGTATTTATTGAACCACAAGTAGGTTATAAAACTTCCATTAATGAATGTAAGTAACTCAGTTGTCATAAGGGGAGAAACCAGCATTCGGTTCGGACCCAGTGGAGCCCCGTGGCATGTGTTCTAGGGACTACTTGAATGGTTCCAAATGGTGCCACTGACAGCTCTGAGATTCGTGCTTCAAAATTATTAACCCAACACACACTGTGTTCGGTAAATACCGTGTCTACATCTCCAAAGAATGTCCAGTTTATTGCATGCATTTTACTTGATAATTCACACACAAGGATACTTCTTGAGTGAGTATGCCTTCTCCAAACATCTAAAACATGCCCTAGAAATGTGTCTTCTCTTATGAAAATGCTCTATGTCTCTGAAAGACAATTCCCAGTGTCCTGTATAAAATTCTAGGAAAAAACGTTTGTGCAGAAATAATGCTACCAATGATAGATTCATTCGCTCCTGTAGAATTATTAGCAACAAATGCTGGATACTCCTTGGGTTAAACAAGCCACCGTGTCCTTTCTTAAGAACTTGAAAAGGATTCATTGGAGAAACATCGTCTGAATTCCAAATAGCCTACTTATGAATAAAATTTCAGAAAAACATATAAGCCCATTATATATCAGAAAAGGCCTATGTGCTGGTGTCTCCTGTATAATGAAAAGGTTGTCACAGCCAGGTTGATGACCTATTTATTTAAAGCAATGTTGATTCAATAAAATTCCACTGCAGAGTAATTGGGACAGCCTTTAGAATTCATCTTAATATAATAGTAGCTGTCCACAGCTACTTTTGTTCGCTACCACGTCTTGGTTGCCTACAATTTAAATGAGTTTCTGCAAGGCAGGAATCGTAACTATTCGCTGAGTGTCTCACCTGAGTGTCCAGAAAGGTCAGATGGCTTTTTGGCATCTGCATGCAATTCCCAATTTTTAAACGACTGCATTCAAAGTGTTTGCATGCACAACGATTATTTAAAACATAAAATATGTATTTTCCCCCATAGAAATAATGTTATACATGATGATTGTTTTCTAAAAATGCTAACTTTTGCAGTAGGGCCACACCTCAGAAGCAATTCTTGCTCTCTTTGTGGACTAGCCAAATCAGTATGTGTGCTGGGGGTTCCTAAGACCACCCCCAGGTCCAACGAGTCGCTAGAACTGACAGGACTCAGCATGTGGTGAGAATCACTGCTCTGATGTATTAGCCAAGGAACACAAAGCACAGTCGGCAGGGGAAAAGGCACAGGGGAGGAGACCAGGCTCACGCTCCCAGGAATCCTCTCCCTGTGGAGTCATGCAGGATGCACTTAATTCCTCCAATTCCTCCAGCACATAGCTGGGACAGCACTGCCAGGGGAGCTCACCTGAGCCCAGGAGTTCGGGGTTTTCACTGGACTGCTCATGGGGGCACCCTCTGCCTGGCACATACCAAAATTCTACGCTCCCAGAAGATAAGAAAGTGTCCAGCATAAACCACCTCATTTGCCCAGTCTAGGCAGCGTGAGCCCCTCTGACCATGAAAAGGGAGGGAACTCCCCCCAAATCCAAGTTCCCAGCCACCCTTGCAAGTGGCTTTCCTAAGGAGGTTCCGTCTCAAGCCTGCGGCCTCAGGTCTTTCCTGCACACTACATTTTAAAACTGTTTCCATGGGAAATAGTGTTCTCGGTGTTAGGGACAGACATGTCCTGCTTGTCCTCGAAGCCCTGGTCCTACAACTGTCATCTCCTCCTTACCTTTTGTCCCTAATAGTAATAGCAGGAGGTGGCCTCACTTTCTCCTCTGGCATGGCAGAGAGGGGTTCTGAGGTCTAGGCTGTGGCACCATTGCCTCGTCTGCATGTTTGTGTAGGCACAGTGATTACGAGTCGGGAGGAACTCCACGTAGGCCGCCCCCACCGTCCTCTTCTGCCCAGGTACCATCAGCGTGCTCCAGGTTCCCCTTGGTACTTTTGCTTCAAGACTTTTCCTATTTTCCACTGAAGGACTAAGAGAAAACACAGCAGGAAACATTATCTTTTTCAAACTTCTAGGCCAGCTTGTAAACAAAAATCAAACCGTTTGCATTTTATTTTATATTTTATTTATTATTATTTTTCTTTTGAGGCAGGATCTCACTCTGTCACCCAAGCTGGAGTGCTGTGGGTCAATCTCAGCTCACTGCAGCCTCCGCCTCCCAGGCTCAAGTGATCCTCCCATCTCAGCCTCCCAAGTAGCTAGGACTACAGGAGAACACCACCACCCTCAAATAATTTTTGTATTTTTAGTCGAGATGGGGTTTCATTATTCTATGTTTCTTTTAGAAACTTGAGTTGGAAAGAACATATGGAATGGAAAGCATACAGTAAGAAGACAAGATTATAAAAAGTTAACAGGGCTGGGCACAGTAGCTCCCACTTTGGGAGGCTGAGGCAGGTGGATCACTTGAGGGAATCATTATTCCCTCACCTATCTGAACCCCAGCCTCCTTTTGGGCTTGGAACCTTGCTAGGAAGAGTAGGTAACAGAGACAAAATGTCCATCAGTGCCTGGCACTGGGAGACATTCAGTGGATGTGCGTTCTTATTTCAATCTTTACTTTTGCACTTTAATTGCCTTTTTCTATTGAGTTTGGCCAGGCTAAGAGGTTTCAGGTAGTTTTGTGTTTGTGTCTGGCTTTGGCTTTATTTAAAGACACAAGCTAGTGCAACGATATTCTGTTTCTTTCTGTAACTAATGTTTGCTGGCTATCCGTATACCATCTCTAGCTCTTTATTCAAGGCAGGAAAAACGGAAAGAAATTAGGACAGATGGATTGGAAGGCGACTGCAAATTTGTGTTTAAATCCTAGTATACATGAGCTTAAACCTGCAAGGCAATGGTGAGCAATTAAGCTCCCCATGTTCCCAGAACCAGCATGACCCGGGGATTCCCCAGAGCTGACTCAGACCCACACGTGCTGTCTCCAACAGGGCAAAGGTGAAGAAAGGCGTGAACATCATCGGCGTGCGAGCCAGCAGCCCTTCCATTTGGGATGTCAGGGAGCGCACGGATTATACTGGAAAGTATGCACCAGCTGTCATCGTTTGTCAGAAGAAATCGGCTGGCTCGGAAAACAGGTGAGTCCCAGCTGGCCTCCGATATATTCAGATCAGCTGCAAATGTGGCCTCATTTTTTTTTTTTTTTTTTTCTTTTCTTTTCCTGGATTGCTAACAACCGTTTCCACTGTGGTTTGCGTTTGGTGTGTGTCATCTATTCTATCAGGGCCTTCAGGTAAGATGAATGGAAACCTTCATTTGGGAAAGATGGGCTATTATTCACAGCGGACCTACTTAACACCCCAGCAGAGCACCGTGTCACCTGCAAGGACTGCACCATGCAGATGAAATTGACCCACAAACCATGTTCCTCTTCAACATGACCTCTTTCTAGTCCATGTTATTAGATGAACTGAAACTCTGCATGTCTCATAAAACGGCCCATTTTGCAAGTGTTAGAAACCAGAGCCTATACGTCTCTCTTCACATGGGTGCATTCCACGTTTGCAGTGTATATTTAAATATAATGCATGTGATTGTATCCATGGGCAGGCATTTGCTGATGGTACACTGAACTATCTGCAGTAGAATTGCAGGGAATTGTGGATTACTCTAGGGAGAAATTAAAACCTGAATCTGTCTCTGATAGCCACCAAATTAGAAACAATCAATTCACAGCTGGGCAAAGGGAGGCTTGAAACTCAGTCATTCTTGTTTGATTGCACTTTCCTGAAATCTCATTTGTGGCTCAGGGGATTTCCTAGTCTGGTCACATATTTTTGTCACCTGTATGTTGCTTTATGCTCATGATACTATTGAAAATTTCAACAATAATGAAAGGATGAATTCCGGTATGCCATGCATTATTTCTGGAGTGCATTTTTAAACTTCATAGCTCAGTGTTTGGAAAATATCCTTATTTTTTATTATTTATTCTAGCAGGGAGCTCATGAATCTGAGCTGACAACTATTATGATTTTTTTTGGCTTATTACCAAGGAGCATTTGAAACCAATGTGGGGATGATTTGATCTGGATTCCTTTCTGTGCTTCTTTACTCAACGTTGGTTTTTAGGAATTTGGATTATCAGCAGCTCTCGTTTGGGCCTTTCCTTTTTATTCTTGAAGATTTGCTTGTACAGCAAATGAGAGGGAAAATAGAAAATCTGTATTTGAGTTCAGTCCTAGATATTTATGTAGTGATATGTTTCTGTAGTGATAGTGTGCCAAACTGGTGACCTGGATGAACTTACAGATACACACATTGAAACACGTCTGTGCCAGTAATATAATTTGGAAATAAGGTGCTATCTCAATAAAATATTTCTTTTGTGTTTTGTAGTTAACAAAAATTGGGATAGATGGACACATGGGTGGACGGATGGGTAGATGGATGGATGAATGGATAGATGGATGGGCAAATGGATGGATGAACAGGTGGATGGATGAGAGGGTGGATGAATAGATGTGTGTATTCTTTATCAGAAGAAAAGAATAAATTTAGGGGAAAGAATCTCAACCAATGAACTTTTATTCTCTCTTGTGATTTCTTTTGCCATCTATTTTTATGTATTAGTAGAAGCAGTAGTTGTAGTCTTGTCTATGAGAGGCTGAGGGAGTTGAACCATTAGAAAATATTTATGCCTTTTTTATTGTTAATTTCTGACAAATAGTTCAGTTCATCTTGGACACGGGGAGAGAGCATGGGTGGCCCAGTGGTGGCTCCTTCCCATTGAAATGTCAACTGCCTTTTTATCTTTCCAGGGGTTTCCAGAATCTCAGCACATTCAGAGCACCTCCAAATGCAGAAATGCATGGTGTTTGCCATTTATTTATTTTTTTCATCTGTGTCAGTATCTTCTTTAAGAAACAAGTACCCTGAATAGAATATAAAGCTCTCCTTTAAAAGCCCTAATTCTTCATTCTAAATGAAGACCGTTCCTTATCTCTTTGTGGATTCTGATGCCACTTTTCTGTTTCCTTTTTTATCTTTTTTCTTCTTGTCTTCTGGAGGCCAGGATACGTTTCCTCATACTATGGGTCTGGATGATGGAAAAAGCTTATACACGTACAGATACACACATGCACAATATGTTATATGTGTCTACATGCATACAGCATATTATAAGCATATAGAACATATATATGTGATATAGATATGCAAATGCATGCATGCATATAGATGTACATTTTACGGGTTTTTGTTGATAGACATATGTGTTGATGTAGGGATTTTACATGGCAGCTAGGAAGGCTTTGCTTAATGAGGAAGCTCTAGAATGGAAGTCTTGTAGCTTTGGGAGCAGGTCTTTTTCCAGCTATGCTCCAGCCCATACAGTGGTGTCTGGCACACGGTGGGCTGTCTATAAATATTTGTTCAATTTGATAATTTGTTCTAAAATTAGACCATATCTCTAGTATTTATGTATTATGATACAAATCTGTATGCACACATATTTAGTGGTTTTCTGTCTACTTGTTCAAAAAGTAAGGTGCATAGCTGCATGTATAGTGAGGCAGCATTTGGGGAAACCCAGAGAAGGGTACTTTTGTGAGCAGACTATGTCCCAAGAAGTCTACACAAAGGACTAGCAACTGCGATTTCTACGGAGACAACTGGGAAGCTGGGGAAAGAGGCTGAATGTAAATTATTTTTTACAGTGAACCATTTGAACTGTTTGATTTTTTTTTTTTTTTGCTGTATGCATGTATTACCTATTTCATAAGACATTTGCAACTAAAATAGAGATTTTAAAAATATGATGTATTCATTCCTATATTCAACTTTTATCCTAGCTTTAAAACTGTTCATTTTACTTCTGCCTTTGGAGAATTAAAGAAAAATCATGCTCCATGATTACAGATAGTGATGGACTGCGATGAGATGTGTTTTTCTTAAGGATAATTGGAAAATGTATTATAGAGTAGATGTTTTAATAATTTTAGTAGGTTTTGCTTCAGAAGCTGTTTTGCTTTATCATTTCCTCCTACCTTCTTTGAATGTTTTCCAGTTATTCTTAAAAGTCAGAGTCTGATCATCATAATGCAAAAGAAGCAGTCTTAATTAGCTGGAGAGTCATAGACTTGGTATTGCTAATAATTTGCCATGGATCAGGAAGTTGCGTTAATGAAGTTAAGTCACTGTGACAGGTTTAATTTTATGGATTAAGGAGACACTTTTGTGCTAGTGGTGAACTCACCAGGAGTGAGGAAAGATCTCTTATCTAAGTTGAAATGCATCCTTCCCTGTTTGAAGAAGTTAGGTTGCTGAGAATGTGATCATAACAATATGAACTTATGAATGCTATCACAGCTATCAGATCTGTTTTGACTAAGCATTGCCTGCAGGATAACCGATTATGCTGTGTCCATCAAATTGCATTTTGCATTTTCAGAATCTTGCTCACTATACTCCTATGTTAACTTAGATAAATACGTAACAAAAGCCACATATTATCATTTCCTTGTAGTTCTCCCCATAGATAAGTGTTTCCCAAAGCTCACGACAGTTGATATGTAAATGATTTTAGGTGTTACGTAGAAATGAGGTTAAATATACTTGAATGACAGAAACTTACATTTATTTAAGTTCTCCAGCAAGACTTGATTGAAGAGAAGTTCATCTCTTTTAAGGGCTAGTATCTCTTTAAAGCTTCTATCCTTAGCTGATTGATACATTATAGATAGGCAAGAATACATAGCTAAATTTAATCTATTTTCATAATTATCTATTTGTTCATTGTAATACTGATTTTACATTTTTGGTAATTAACATTTCATTTTAAAACAAATGTTTTGTTTCGTTTTGTTTTGTTTCCTGAGACAAGATCTCACACTGTTGCCCAAGTGGGAGTGCAGTGGTGCGATCTTGGCTCACTGCAGCCTCTGCCTCCTGGGTTCAAGCTATTCTCCTGCCTCAACCACCCAAGTAGCTGGGATTACAGGCGTGTACCACCACACCTGGCTAATTTTTGTTTATATAGTAGAGACGGGGTTTTGCCCTGTTGTCCAGGCTGGTCTCAAACTCTTGAGCCCAAGCAATCTACCTGCCTTGGCCTCCCAAAGTGCTGAGATTACGGGAGTGAGCCACCACACCCAGCTTTAAATAGACTGTTTTCGGAAACAAATAGGAATATCTTCAACAAGACAGAAGTTTTTTCTTTCTCACATAAAAGAAGCTTAAGGCTGGCCATGGCTGGAATGGCAGTTCTCCAGTATCACTGGGGTCTCAGGACGCTTTCCTTCTTCAACACTATGTGAATGGAGGGTTTACATCTTCATAGATCGAGATGGCTTCAGGAGTGTCAGTCATTACATCAGCATTGCAGGCAAAAGAAAAGTGACAGAAAAAGGTCTTCTTAACTGGTTGACTCTTTTTAGGCAACCTTCCTGGAAGCTCTTTTCAACCCTATTTCTCTCTCTTGCATCTCACTGATAAGAACTTAATCACATGACCAAACCATACTTCAAAGGAAAGTAGGAAACATGATTTATTACCAGCAGTGTGCCCAGTTCAAAATCAGTGTTCTGTTCTAAAGAAAGAAGAGGCTGGGCGTGGTGGCTCACGCCTGTAATCCCAGCACTTTGGGAGGCTGAGGCGGGCGGATCACGAGGTCAGGAATTCGAGACTAGCCTGGCCAATGTGGTGAAACCCCATCTCTACTAAAAATACAAAAATTAGCTGTGCATGGTGGTGTGTGCCTGTAGTCCCAGCTACTCAGGAGGCTGAGGGAGGAGAATTGCCCGAACTTGGGAGGCTGAGGTTGAGGTGACCCGAGCTCATGCCATGGCACTCCAGCCTGGGCGACAGAACAAGACTTTGTCTCAAGGAAGAAAAAAAATAAAAATAAAAAATAAAACAGAACTGCAGCCTGGGGAAGTGGGGCAACCAGCAACCTCTATTTCATCAATTTATAAAGAATACACATATGGGAATTCCAGTAGTGATGAAAACAGCATGGTACCTCACTAACCTCCTTCACTTCAGTAGGATCCTTTAGAAATTTGCAGTACAATGTAATAGGGTGGGGAAACTCACATCAGCACTGTACCAGAACAGTTCTGTGTATGTTAGAAACTTA